CCGCCGGAGCAGACATGGCCCGGGCAGGGTATGCCCGCCAGGCCCGCGGGATTGCCCCGCAGGCGAGTGCCAACGCTCGGCCCGGGCGATCCTCCGGGGCGGTTTATGGCTGGGCCGCGCGTGGAGGCGCCGCGCCGGGCCCGCCCCCACCGATCCTCCCCAACCCCCCCGCCGTGCCCCCCGCCTGCTCCCCGCCGCCATAGGCACATCGCTAGCCTTCGCCTCCCCCCCCCCAGAAGCGCCGGTGGCATCCCCGACTACCGGCCCCTGACCACGCCTCCCTGCCCTCTCGCCCCGTCTCCTCCTCCCGGGCACACCATCCGTGGGACACATCCGCACGCACGCACGCACGCACGCACGCACGCACGCACGCACACAAGCCCCCTCCCCACCCCGCGCATCGGCATGTGGCACGCAGCACGCGAAAATGAGAAGCGCATCAGGCAGCGCCTGTACGAGTTGAAGAAGCGCGGCGAGCGCCGGCGCGCCTTCCTCAACAGCATGGTGCGCTGCTCCCGGCGTCCCCACCGCCTCAGGACCCCCCTCTCTCGCTCACACCCCATGTCGCCACCGCCGCCGCCGCCGCCGCCGCCGGACCCACGCCTCCCGTAGGATCACGACCAGACCGAGGACCTGCGCGTCGTCGGCGTGTCGGCCGCCGAGCAGCCGAGCACCGACGCCGAGGACCTTCTCCCCGGGGAGCTGAACGAGCATGCCCACCTGTGCGTGCCTCCGGCGATCACTCCTCCTTGACGTACACACATCCCCGCCCCCCGCCCCCCTGGCTCCGCTCCTGACAGCATGTGCCCTCGCCGGGATCCCGGCCACCTTCGGATCGCCGCCGCCGCCGCCGCCGTCGCCACGCCCAGCCTCCAGTGGGCTGGCGACCCGTCAGTCTTCCTCGATCGGTACGCTCCGCGCCCGGGTTCTGGGCAGGCCCACGCGCACACACGCCGCACTGTCCTCCCCCCCCCCCCCCTCCCCCGGGCTCGATCACTGACAATGGCCTCACGCCCAGCTTCGACGCCCGCAGCTTGCTCGGCTACCTGCCGCGCGTTGCGCCGGCTCCGGCGCTCACCCGCCGCGAGGAGCGCAAGAAGGAGGCCGAAGACGACCTGCTCCAGTTTGAGCGGTACCGCCACCTGGTCGAGGCGGCCCGCCTGGACCGTGCGTCCCTGCCCACCTGCCCTCCCATTGACCCGCATGCCACGCCGGCCCGCGGCCACACCACGGAGGGCAGCTGGCGGCACCCGACACCAAGCAGGCAAGCAAGCACGCGAGCACAAACTAACGCCCAATCCCCGCTGGTCCCCCAGTGAATGAGCGCGACTTCCTCAAGAGCATCGAGCAATACTGGGATCGTGTGTTCGAGTCCCGTGCCCAGGTCGGGCAATTCTTCAATCAACCGGCCGGCCCCGGCCACCACTCCGGCCGGCACCACCCTGCCGACCCGATGTGCGTGCCCCGGGCCAATGGCCCGGCGGCTGGTCTCCACTCGCCTGCCCCTCCCTCCCGGTCCTCTCCGCATCTTAACTCCCCCCCCCCATCTCGCGCCTCGCCTGGCATGGCAGCCCGCGTCCCGAGGTCCCGATCCTGGCCCTGCCGCCGCCCGGCCCGGGCGCCATCGCCTCCCAGTACTCGAGCGGTGTGTGTGCCGCCGCCGTGCGCGTGCCCACCCTTGCTGCCCCCAAGCTGGCCCTCATCTCGCCCCACTTCGCCTGCCTCCCGCGCTCGCCCCCGGCGCTGCGGGCCCCGCTCGAGCACCACACTAAACCCCCCTGAAAACGCCCCCCAACGCGCCGGTGGACGGCGTCCCCTCCTCCCTCTCCCTCTCCCCACCCCTCCCATGCCCCCTC